TGAGCCACAACATCTCCATGTGCTGGCTTATTACAGTCAGCAATCCAACTGTTAGGAGGAAAGTGAGCTGGAAGTCAAGGCAGTCTCATTTCTGTCTTCCAATTCTTCAATGATGCAACATGAAGCTGTTCCAGTTTTGCCACACACCTTACTGACACAGTTACACAGATAATAAAATGTAGAGCAACTTGAGCGTGCTTCTGCTGCATGCAGAGATGGCTGGTGAGGGCCTGCTGAAGCAGGGAGTCAGCCAATTTCAAAAGACAAGTGGAAAGTTGTCTGGAATTAGTGGACTGGGCAAAAACTCTGTTGAATTAGTACAAAGATGGCTGGCATCAGACACTGCCCTCAAGTGAGTCTCTATGAAGGGGCTTTACTTTAAATAGGCTTGTGGGATTTATGTTGTGCACAACACAGGAGTGTTAAGCTTGTAACAGCTGAGGAAGAGACCCACAGTATCTGGTCATCTAGTTCACTTCAATCTTACCTCCCACCCCCTTCTGACCAGTTCTGGGAGGGAGCAATGTACGCATGAATGGTCCCTGTGACCGCAACAGAAGTATAGGCTAGATGGTCTAACAGCTCCCTGCTATCCTCAGTTTCCATAGGAACTAATGCTGTCACAGAGATCAGGCTATTTCTTGGTCTGCCAAGTCAGACTGCACAATGCATTCATATCTTAGTGAGCATCTGTATTTGTTGATTGCATTCTCTTCCACAGGGATTTTAATGGGTGAGGTATTGAAGTCAGGCAGGATTTGTCTAGATCTTAATACTCTGCTGGCTATGATAAAGCAAGTAGTAGGCTAGGACGTGCATAACAACATTGCAGCTGTACAAGCTGTAGGTCTATGATGAAGGCTAATGGAGGGCCAACATTAGTATCACTTACAAAAAAACCCCCAACATTACATCACAGGAAGCCTCTCATACAAAGGCCCATGACCTTAGGAAACAGCAAGCCACTAAAACTGGACAGTGCCTGAAATTAGTGTTCATACAGCAGCCCAATTTGCCAAACAGTAGAAACCTGGCACCAAACTTCTGGGCTTTACCTGCGAGCTGAACTTTATCAGTACCATGTACTGGTTCGGAGTGGAATCCCGGATGATTTTCATATGCTCAATGACTTCATAAAAAGGGGCTACAAACTTCATCAGGTCATGACTGGTCATGGTAGCAGGCACTGTGAGAATGCACAGCATTGCACTGCGCCTCACATCTTCTTTCAAAGAAGTCATCTTACTAAGAAGACAATAAAAGTAGACTTTTAAAATTGAGGAAGTCAAGACTGACATCTTAAGACCAGCTTACACAGGAGACCATACAACAATTTAATGCTTCACAATTTAAATGTACCTGTGATTGTAAAGCTCCTTCCCTATTTGTAACAACCACCTTTTAATCCTTAAATATGTACAAGTCTGAAGACACCCAAAAGGTACTTAGTCATCTTTAAAGAAACAGCTCCCGTGTGCAACCAACTGATATTGACCCACAGTACATATTCTGACAGCTGTATTTCTGTAAGAGTACCTGGGGTTTGCAAACCACAAATACTCAAAATATTTCTAGAGTAAGTGAGCAATATTGATTACTGATGTAATAGCCCTTGAGTCCTGGCCACATTCAAGAACATCTGAAATTGATGGTTCTCATTCAGCTCCTTAAGTGGGAAGATATGATTACTCCATCATTGCAACAGAATAATTTGGGAAGTGCAGACCTTTGCGTTCATTTTAACATTCCAGGGGAATGTGAACAAAGAGATCTTTGCCTGTGGGGTCCCCTCACACCTGATCTTTCTAGGGCCACCTTTCAACTGGTGTTTTTACTCCCACTGCTTACATGAACACATACTCTCCGAGACATCCTCACCCACAGCTGGAAGGGCTGGGCCTGTTACTACCATCAAAGCAGCTATGCAGGTCAGACTACACCAGACACTGTCTATGGTGCCAATACCCCAGGCTTCCTGTGCGTCATTGCTCCATCAATCCTGGAGCAACAGCCCTAGTGTTCCCGACTCACCCTTCTGGATGGCAAGAGTCTATGGTGCTATTCCCACTAGATCTATAATGAGTCAAATACATTCTTACTTTGTTTTGTACAGGTGCATAATGCCATGAGCAATTTCAACTGATGGGTTCCCACTGAAGAAGGAAATCTGGTCAGGAAGTTGTTTTGATGGCGAGTCCGGAGCCGCCTCGCATTCTTTACTTTGACTGTCATGTTTACTTGCGTCATCAATGGATGAAGCTTCTGCAGATTTTCTTCCTTCCATTGCAGCTTTTGTCTCATCTTTTACAAATCAAAAGTGTTCAGATTACTGAACCACACATCAGAAACTTCAACTGCATTTTAAGTGCAATTTTATGTACAAGAGAGGATTTAGTTATTCAAAAAGTCAAATTATGACATGTAAAGCACAGAATAAATTCTGTGCTTCTAAACAGTGGTCTCCTCACTTTGAGTTATCAACTGAGGCATATTTAGGCACCAGTTTGAGAGACCTTTTGGCTGCGTCATGGGGGCTACAAAGCTAGTCAGATAAGTTCTGAAGGGTGCCAAGCTGAGTTTTGCAGTATGCTACTTTGTTACTCAACAACTACAAGTCATTTTTTTTATTGCACTTAACATGAAAGCAAACAATAGAGTCAGGATAATCCTTGTGCTTAGTTTTGCATTGCTTGGTTTTCAGTTAGCTTTCTATGCTGTGCAATTTTAAGGGTAGGGTGAAAAAAAAAGCATCTCAGTGGCACAACTGAGAGTCTATAAACTCTATTGGCATCATTTCTCATGTCCTTAAAGGCAGGATTTGCATTTACCAGGAGCTCAGCAGCTTAGAAAGCCATTTTAAATGACCAGCAGAGACTCCCTATGCCTGATGAAGGGTGACTGTGCCCGAAAGTTTGCTAAGAACTTTTTCCCAACTACTCAGTAGGTCTAATAAAGATGATTATCACATCTACTCAAAGAAACTTGCAAGCAAGTTTAAAATACTTTTAAGAGAATACCCATATGTTAGACTAGTAAAAACCTTACAGGCATTACAGACCAATTACTGGAACACCTTTTTCAAGTTTTAGAATGGTTACCTGGGTCAAGCTGTATTGTCTCAATGATCATATCCGTCATCTCTCTGCGGCCAATATGCTGGTGAATAATTGCTGCTTTTTCCACCAGCGCCTTTCCTTCTAAATAGGCTGAAGCAGAAGTGAGCGACTTTTCTTTGATTTCCTCATCAGACATATGAGTGGCTAAAGAGGAAAACAATTAGCTATTTAAACAATGCCATTGGGAGCAAAAAACAAACAACTCCAGTGGAAGGAGGGCAGAGCAGGCTTCCCTAATAAACAGCCATTAGGTCTCTACCAGGTCATTACAATAATTCTTTAAGCTGCCTTTATTTCTTCTTCTGCAGAGTAAAACCATCAACCAGAGGAGAAAAAAAAAAAGTTTGGTTTTGCTGCCACACATGTAACCCTTGCGATCTGGCACATGATGGTTTGAGCACGGTAGCCAGCCATGTTAAGCTGACATCTGTCAGTCAGAGAAAGATCTACTCTTTCATAGACCAAAAAAGACGTATTAGATGGAACACAAGAACACTGGAACTGCCATTTCCTGGGTCAGACCCTAGATCCATCTTGCCCATCTCCCAGCCCGTCTCCCATGCCACATGGGGGCAGCAATGGATGCTAGACGGGAGTGATGAACTGGATCTGAACATGGATATTTTTCCCCCCCTACTTCTTCTCCCACTTGCAGCCTCCAGCATTTCATGTCTGGGAAGCTTTGATTCAGGGGCCATGCCCCTCGCTCCCCAAGCTAAATAGCAACAACAGATGCCGCTTTCCTCCAAGAGCGCTTCCCATCTCTTCATGAATCTGGCTAAACTCTCAGCTTCCACCACCTCTGCTAGCAAGAGTCCCACCCGTTAATGACCCACTGAGTGAAAAACAACATCCTTGCGTTCCTTCCAAGCCGGCTGCCTGCTCGCTTCCCGTTGCCACCCCTCGTTCTCATCTAGACAGAGCCAATGCTATGTCCTGACAGACTTCCCCTTTGCCATCGGGCACTTTATAAGCCCTCATCACATTCTGCGCGAATCTGGCATCCAAAGAGGTCAGTGCTAACTGAACGCGGAGGTCTTGGTGCGGGCCGGGCAGAACGTGCATGCGGAGAGATGAGACTGGGAAGCCGATATCTCACACACATGAAACATGTCCCCCCTCAGGGGAACAGGCCTGGCCTCGCCCATCCCTCCTGTTTCGGCAGAGGTGGGCACGGGACAGGGGACCCGCTACAGCTGCAGAGGTGGGGCGGCTGCTCCCACCAGCTTCTCTGCAGATCAGCTCCGGTTTTGTAGGGGGCGAGTGCTGAGAGAGCTTAGGGGGCTCCCACCCCCCCCACCCAGGGGCACGCAGTGGATTTGCCTTGACCCAGGAGGCTGGACTCGATGATCTTCGGAGGTTCCTTCCAGCCCTAATGCCTAATGTTTATGAAATGAGACCAGGAGCGCAAAGGCAGCAACCAGTGACGCCCAGAAACCGCCTAGAGCCACCCCGCCACAGCAGAGCCCAGCACAGGGGAGACCCCCCCTCTCCCCCCGCCAGCCCCTGAGGGGACAATGCGCCCCTCGGCCCCTGAGGGAGGAGGCCCTGGCTCAGCCCCGCACGCACCGGCCGCGCTGTAGGCGAAGGCGGCGGGCGGCGCCGAGTGCTCGGCCAGCTCCAGCCGGATCACCACCAGCGGCACGCTCATAAGGCCCCGGGACGCCGGGCCCCAGCGGCACCGGCCGAGGCACAGCGGCGGCGGCGGCGGCAGCGGCTTCCGCCTCGAAGACCTCTGACCCCTGACCCCGGGAGGTCGCGCAGGCGCGGTGTGTGTGTGTGTGTGTGTGTGTGTGTGTGTGTGGGAAAACATACCTGGTCACGTGAGCCGGCGGCGGCGGCGTGCTCTCGCGCGAGTCGCCGGCAGGGGCAAAGGTCACGGGGTTGCCTCGGTGACGGGTAGGCCGCAGCATGGGTTTACGCCGGCTGCTGCAGGCCTGGGTGCCGCGCCGGGCCGCCCGGCCCTGCCGAGCCGTGGTCTTCGACATGGGCGGCGTGCTGCTGCCCTCCCCCTACGCGCTGGCCCGAGGTGAGCGCCCGGCTCCTATCCTTGGAGTAACCTGCCACCGTCATCCCACCCCTCCCGGGGCTGCGGTCTCCAGCAGGGTTGAGACGTGCTCCTGGGAGGAGACGGGCTAGACGGGGACGGGTTTGGGGCATAAACGTGACCTTCTTGTCGCGCCATTGTGTCCCGCACAGACTGGGAGGTGCGGAACCGCGTCCCCCCCGGCACGGTGCGGCGCGCTCTGATCTGCGGCGGGGATGACCGGCCCTGGATGAAGTACATGAGGGGGGAGCTGACGGCGGCGGAGTTTGTGCGAGCATTCGCGCGGCAGTGCTTCGAGATCGTAAGCCTGCCGCCCCGCTTTCCAGCTCTTAACACCTCTCTCAGGCCTCCGTAAACCCTAGAGAAGCCGTAGCACGCAGGAAAGAGCCCTGCTGCGCCCTCCTCTCTGCTCTGCAGGCTCCTAAACCTGCTCCTGCAGGAGGTGGCAGGGACCTGCTTGGCGATCCAGGCTTCACACTGCTACTTTCGTCTGCTTCTGCCTCCCTGGCTTCGGCGCTCGCATTTTCCCACCCCTCATGCCAGGAGAGGGCCAGCGGAGGAACAGCGCCTGCCTCTGCCAGAGGGTCGGCGCGGAGAGAGGAGAAGGAGAGGCCGCTCTCGCGGATGCGGCAGGATTCCCAGCAGAGGATTTCTATTCTTGGCAGAGCGCGTTGGGCTGTAGCTGGAGCTCAAAGCGATGTCACGCTCGTCTTCTCGGCCAGGCAGCTGAGTGTAAAACAACGGTTGCCACTCTGACGGCTGACGTGTAACCGGGTGGGTTCATCTGATGCCATGGCAAGGGCCTGCGTGATAAATAAAGGAATTGCGAGCTGTTTCCCTTCCTAGTGTCATCCCTGAACTCCAGCACCTTCCCCCCGTAGAACTAGTCAGTGCAGAAGCTCTCGGGAACCTTATTACGAACAGTGTAGCCAGCGAGCTAGGCTGACGGCCTCTGTTACAGGGAGAGGCAAGGATCAGCTGGTCCGTTTCTCTGGGTGATGCATAAAGTTTTATTTTCTCTCTAAAGAGGCTGATGAGCATTTGGTGGGGGGGTGTTTCTTGCTCCTCAGACAAACTCTTCCGTTCCAGTGGACTCCTTTCTCTCTGACCTCACCAGCAAAGAGATGTCAGAACAGCTCCCCGTGATGACCGAAGCAATACGGTGTATCCGGGCAGAAGGCCTTAAGACAGCGGTTCTAAGCAACAACTTCTACCTGCACAGTGGGGCGAGCTTCTTGCCCCTTGATCGAAAGCAGTTTGATGTGGTAAGTCCAAATGTGCTCAGACATCTGTCCAGCGTATGAAAAGCACCCATCGCAATACTCAAGAGGCAGGTCCCAAGCTAACAACAGTGGTAATAGCAATACCTCGTGCACTAGTGCGACACGTTGGGTATGTCCTTTGAGGCACAACTCTTGTAGCAGACCCACCGAGTGGGTTTTAGTGAGTAGCGGGCACCTATGTTTTTAGTGGGTCATCGCAAAGTGCCGGCGTACTGTGCAGACATGCTTCTGCCTATGTATTGTGCTGGGGTACTGTGCAAGAGGCTCAGGAGATGAAAAGTTCTATAATTAGCACTTTTACCCTTCTGAAGCACTCTCTACCTCAATAGATCTGAAAGCACATTGCAAATGGTATACAGGCTGTGCCTGGTGTGGTGTCCCACAGCTGGCCAGCTGGCATCTTCCCAGGGGAGAGAAAGGGCTGTTGTGGCTACAGGCACCAGAGCAAGCCTCTGCCCGTAATGCAGGAGCTGAATGGGCTGTGGGGAGTCAGCACGCTGGACTTTTGCATATGCATATGGGGTTTTTTCCCCATTGGAGGTTGCTGCTGAATGTCCCAGAATCTTAAGTTATGGTCTAGGCAGGTAGAATGCCCGGCCCTGGCGTGGACTCATGAAGAGGGATAGATCAGTCCTACGTAAATGTGCTCTCCTTTGTGGGGTAAGCTAATGCAGGCACTGTGCTGGGCTATGGGCAGCATTGTGAGGTCTGAGCTATTAGATGCTCCTGAATTACAGCTGTTGTGTATGAACTAAGTGACCTTTCCTCCACCATGCACTGGCTGGTAGAACATTTGCTCCTTGAATACTTTAGGCAGGAGCCTTCCTTGTCGTTGACTCTCAGTTAACCACTTGGCTTCACAATCATTTTAGCTGCCTTGTGGCTTGTCTTTTTAGACATAAGTCAATAATCAGGTTTTTGCTGGCCTGTCGTTTTAAACCTGTCTGAACTTTTAGCACGTTCCAGGCTCGGCAGGGACCTTTGCACTCGCTGTTTCCTACATTTGTTTTAACCACAAGTTATACCTTGTTCACACATGTTTACTCGGGGCAATCATGGGTGCTCTACAGTTAGATGAACAATTCAACTTACTCTAGATGTGGCCCTATTCTTTCAGATCTACTCCTAATACATTAAGAGGAACGTTTAGGTACTTTCAGTTCAGCCCCTTCTGAATGACATAACCTTGAATATGGTCCTCTTTTGCTATATGTGTCAGCAGACCTCTAAAAGTTTGCTCATGATTTGGCCTTGTTTTATAGCCTCAATGAGGCAGGGGGGAAAAAAGCATGTGTGAAGAAAAGTCACTTTGTTAACATAGGGATTATTTTCTGTTCAGTTTTCATAGTGAAACTGGCCTTTTAAAATACCATATTCTAATGCTGTATTCTGTTTCTATCATGCCTTTTCTTCCACGCAGTTTCAGAGCACAGAAATAACTCCATATCCTGTACACAGAACACACCCTGTAATGAAATGTCATCACCTGTGGAATGTGGTTGCTGTATAACAGCTTCCGGCAACATGACAATACTAATATAGGACAGGAAGTGAAAGAGAACGTATGCCTTAGCTCTCTTTCTGCAGTGCCTATCAGTGTAGTCTCTAAGCAATAAGCTAATATTGCATCTAATTCTAAGCAGAGTGGGAATTGATAGAGACAAATGTTCTCTAGATTAGAAGGGGGTCAGAAACGCTGGGCCTAAGGTCTCTATCACTGGGATGGCTGATAAGTGTCACAGTCAGGACTGTACTTTGCATCTTCTCTGACAGCAGTATGAGAGCTGCTGGTTTAGCACTGACTCTGGGGGAAAGAGGACCATCCACCGTGTCTTCTCACAGCCGTATTCCTTGATGGCTCTCCAGCAAGAACTGGCTGGTGCTGCTTAACCTGTGCTGTCTGGCACTGTCCCAGCTGAGGCAAGAGGCAGCAAGACACTCAGCTGCCTGGGTCAGCTCCTTCCCACCCTGTAAGGATGACAGCGAGTGCAGCCCTGCCAGCACCCTGCCCCTTGTTCATTGTGCTACACAGGAGTCTCATACTTACCCGTGCCCTCTGTTCGTACGACTCCCCTGATGTTCATGAACAGGAATTGTGGTGGCTTTTTGTGGAACCGCCTCCAACATGGTTGGTTGTTGTTGTAGATAATCGAGTCCTGTCGGGAAGGGATATGCAAGCCTGACCCTCGTATCTACATGTTGTGCTTGGAGCGCTTGGGTGTCCAGCCAAATGAATCCATCTTCCTGGATGATATTGGCCAGAACTTGAAAGCGGCAGCCCAGCTCGGCATGAGCACGCTGAAGGTACAGAGCAGCACTGGCACAGCCACCTGGGGGTTTGACTTGAATGGGCTGCATATGGTTACCCAAGTCTAGCCAGACTTGCCGTATTTCATACGCTGCCCATGCCCATAGTCTTGTTTGACAAGTGAGTGCTGTTGCTGAAGGGCTGAACAAGGGGTCACTGTCAGGGTCTGAGTTTTCAGGCTCTGTTCCCAGCTCTGCCTCCAACTCTCTGCACAGCCTTGGGCATGTCAGTTATCTTCTCTGTCTCAGCTCCTCGCCTGGGAAAGAAGAACAAAATTTGCCCAACAGAGGCCTGGGAGACTGACTTCACTTTGGAAGCAAGCTGCGTGGGGCCTGACTCACTTATAGGGTGAAAGAGGGTTTTGCTGAGGAGAAGGGAGGTGGAGACGGAGGATGGGACCCGTGGAAGGACTGAGTTCTGCTTCCCTCTGGCCCTCTCTGGGGGCATTCACACACATGTCCCAGCCTGTATTTGCAGTGTAAAGCCTTTTTGTTTTCCAGGGGAAGGGCTTACAGGGCTGCAGATAAGACACATGGAAAGAACAGGTGCTCAAAGGAGACTAAAGTAGCCTTAGTTTTGCCTTCAGCACATGGTCATCCCAAATGACCCATCTGAACCAAACAGTCGGAAGTTTTTTACCCATTTACAACCTAACCCTCCCTCTTGCCCCAATATCAGGTCGATGATCCAGAAGCGGCTGTCAAAGAGTTAGAAAACTTCCTGGGTTTCCCTTTGCGGGGGGCTGTTCCATTCACTCGCTCCGTGAGGCCAACCATGGAAATCCCACAAGTGCCTTTGCAGAAGTATCTGGAAAATGTCCTAGGCAGCCACACAACAGGTATCGCAACTCTCCTGCCCTGCAGCCTTAAAGATTCGTTGTCTCTTTCCTGCACAAGACTAATGAGCGTGTAACAATCCTAACACTGTTGAATACTGGGATGTAACAAAGCACTCTCATGACTTGGGCACCTTCTCGTGCTCTTTCCAAAAGGCTGGTCTGTTTGAAGTATTCTTGGTAATGCTTTCTGAGATCTCATGTATGATACTGCTTCATTCTAATTCCAGACGTTGGAATTAACCTCATTCTAATTGCCAGCACCGTGATTAGCTGGAGTGCTGAGGTGTGTGCAGCCTGGCCAGAAACCTGGCTACAAGGCTTCTAAATGGCATTTATTAGAGTGGAGTTTTCTTTGCTCAACCCTTGTTAATGGGTAAGAACCAGTGATTGATGCTGCTGGCAGGCGCTCACTGCTTGGCCAGGGGATTCCAGTCACTGCCATGGCCACGCAGCTCTGGGACTGCCTTTTGGGACCAGAATGAAAGTGCCTCATCATCTAGAAAGCCTTAGATTAAGGCACGTTTTAAAGCAACAGTGCCAGATCCACTGTCATTTAAATATGACCACTTGCTTTAGCTATGCTGCTAACCACAATGTGGATTATTCCGAGAGAGAGAATTCAGCGTCTATCATTTCCCTTTTATGATTCAGGCAGGTTGTTTATCTGGCTACTTCACTCTGCTGCAGCATTGTAAACAGACCGGGAAACTTTTCTGTTGTTTCCAGCCCATTTCATTTCTATGTTTTCAAGCCCTGGCTGGATTGTGAGAGATGTGGAAGGTGAATGTTGCAGGGATATGCTTTAAAAAAATGCCTCTTTCATTTCAATGTCAAAACAAATCACGACAATGTTTCCTTTGGCACTGGGCTTTAAGAACCTCAAACACTGAGTCTCTGCTCACAGACAGTCTCTCTTTGATAGTTGGTTTGGAGAACCAGTTCATAGAAAAGGCCCAAATACTTGTATTTTCCCCACTGCCCATTATCCCTGGCACCTGAACCAAACCAGATACTTTTAAAAGCTCAGGATTAGTTTGGATTAAAAAAACCCCCAGTTTTTAAAACCTTCAGGAAGTCCCTGTTCCTTGTAGCTGTTCCAAAACCAGTGCCTATTCTGCTTCTTTCATCTGCCCCTTATTTCCAGACTCTCACTAGAGTTTAATGTAAGGACAGGGGTGCGTTATAAAATACGCTTTATCATTGACTTAGATGCTGTAACCTCACGGGTCAGAGGCGTTGCTGGCCAAACAAAGACACCAGTGTTACCTAAATGAGAGTCCAATACGTTTCTGCTCTGTTCCAAAAAGTGACTCAGATCAAATGTGCTTGGTTTTCACATAAAAACATGAGTTTTCTCACCGATCAGAGCCATGATGGAGTCTCCTGGCTCCAGGTATCAGAGAGACATAGGTAGCCATGTTAGTCTGACATCAGGCAGAAGGTTGGGTAGATGTGCACCTTATAGACCAACTAGATTGTATACATATAAATTAGTTCCTGTATCATCTGTCACTACCAGGGTTTTGCAGTGGGGTATTAGTTGGCAGGCCTGTCTGAATTTCTCTTGCAAAGTAGGAATAAGATGCAACAAAACCCCTGCTTTTTGTCTTTAAAGCCAGTAGCGCTGGTTGAGAACTCACAGGGAGCTAAGTCAGGAGGGGCTGTTTTTACCCTCTCCCTTTTCACACTGACTGCACTTTAAGCTGGTGAAGAACTCGTGCTGACAGCACTCACGGCAGCTTACTGAATCGGAGTAATCGGGGCTGCTAGTTAATCACTGGAGCGCAAGTGGAAGATGGGAGGGAAGCCAGGCCAGTAGTGAAAGGCTCAAAGTTCTCCAGCAGCTGCAGACCTCCGCCAGGGAGCTGCCCTGGGCTGCTGCTAGAGCTGTCTCTCCCTTTGCCCCATTGGCAATAGCCAGAGAGGTCCCTGTAGCACAGGACACAGGCTTGGGGCCTAGGGGAGGCACAGCCATGCAGAGGGACCAAGCAGGAAAGCCCCTGCAGAACACAGAGCAGTCCCAGGCTCCCAGACCCCCTGCCTTGACTTCAGCAGGACTCCAGACGGCCCTCTAGCTACCTGTGTAAGTCAGTGCCCTGCAGGTCTGGGCAGAGCGTATAGCCCCTTGTGTGAGAGAGCTCACTGCAGTAACCCAGGCACAGAGATACAGACCCAAGAGGCAGCAGCAAGCTCTGCCGGGGACACAGCCCCCAACCTGTTAGCTTTGCTAAGTCTGACAGCGTGCCTCCCCTCTCCAGACTGCAGCCGGAGCATCCTGGCCTCGGGTGGCACTGGGCAAAACGCACCCTGTGTGTTCCTGGCTCTCAGGGGCCTTTGGTTCAAGTCAGCGATGCTCAGCCTCTCGGCTCTTGCCTTTATAGGCTCCTGTTCTTTGCTTTCCACGAGACCCCTGCTTTGGAACTTGCAGGTTCTCTGCTCCTCCGGCAGTTTAGCCATGGCCAGTCGAACCCGACGTACTACGTGCAGTATGGGGACCACCGCTTAGTGCTGAGGAAGAAGCCCCCAGGCAAGCTGCTCCCATCCGCGCACGCTGTGGAGAGGGAGTACAGGTGAGAAGACAGGGTGTACACATCTGCATGGGGCTCCCTCTGGACTCTGAGCCCTTCTGCACTGACCGCTGCTTGTCCCGGCAGGGTGCTGAGGGTGCTGGCGGAGGCTGGCGTGCCTGTCCCTCGAGTGCTGGCCCTCTGTGAAGATTCCAGGTGAGTGTTTTCTCCCTGGCTCGGCTGTGGGTGGGACAGCAGCTGCCATGGCGTCCCGGGTTACGATGGGGTGCAAGAGACAGCAGCTCGTGGCCCTGGCAGGGAGGCCACAATCCCAGTCAGGCAGAGGGATGTGTGCCGACAGCAGCTGTTGGGACTCGGGCACTGCTGTGGAAGCAGAGGGACATCAGGCTTGCCCACAGAGGTTGTGGATGACAGTGGAGACAGAACAGCTGCTCTTCCTGCCTCGGTGAGGGATGTGGCTTCGGAACAGGATGGAGGCAAGGTTTTACCTATAGAGGAGGTCTCGGAGGCACCCCAGAGCCTCTGATCTCGCTCTCCTGCCCTGATGCCACCTCGGAGCATTGAGAGTCCCAAAGGACAGTCGCTAAAAGGCCTCTGCTTCCCCTGTCCCCCAGCATCATCGGCACGCCGTTCTACCTGATGGAATACTGCGCTGGCCACGTCTACAAGGACCCCTCCCTCCCCAGGCTGGAGCCCGCCCAGCGCAGGGCCATCTATGCTGCCATGAACCAAGTCCTTGCTCAGATCCACAGCGTGGACCTCAAAGCAGCCGGACTGGAGGATTATGGGAAGCACGGTGAGAAGGAAACCCGTGGGCATTGGCGTGCTGGCATGGCCTTCTGTTGTGTCAGGGACGTGGGCCAAATCTTCTGGACAGCACTGGGGCAGGGGAGCTGCAGAGGAGGTGGGACTGGTCCTCAGGCCCATCAGAGCTGCCTGTCCCAGCTGCTGAGGATGCTCCAGGGGTCTGTGATCTCTGCAGAGTCTTCCAAGCATCCTACCGATGCTTGGGCCTTGCTGTCCACAACAGGGCTCTTTGATCTCTCAGCTCAGGGGCTGAGGGCTCAGGATTCCTGCCAAGTTGGGAGCCAGGACCTGGAGGTGGTTTTTTGTTTCAGGCCCTGGGGATCTGTAACCAGTCAGAATATCACCCCCATCCCTGCAAGAGATTGCCCCCATGCCCAGGTTGGGAATGTGGCCCCCCTACCCTGTGCCACAGGATAGCAACAATACAGGAAGAGCCCTCCCCTCCTGAGGCAGTAACAGAACATGGCTGCCTTGCCATGGAGCACCTGGCCAGAGCCCATGTGCCACATCCTGCCCTGTCTGGCTGTGGCTTCATCCTGCAGAGTCGCAGGAAGGTGACGGACATCCCTGCTTCCCTGACCCTGCCATAGCCTGGGCCACCAGGAGCTTTTCCCAGCTCTGCTAGGGCTGGCCCTGGCCCATGGCATCAGTGAAATGCTTGATCATTTGGGTGGAGGTGGGCCAGCTTTACTTCTGGCTCTGGGAGGGTTTCCAGCAGGTCTGTAGCTGTTTCTAACAGCCTCATGCTTTTCATAATCGTGCTCAAAGCCTGCATTCCCTCTGCACCAGGGAACTACGTTCAGCGGCAGGTTCAAACCTGGACCAAGCAGTACCGCGCCACGGAAACCCACACCATCCGAGCCATGGAGAGGCTCATTGAATGGCTCCCCTTGCACC